ACGCGTTTGAGACACAAATCATCCTTCAAAATGGTTTGGACTGAGCCAAATGATATTCCAACACTATCAGCGAGGTCTCTCATTGTCAGTCGACGATTTTCAAGCACCAAATCTTCGATTTTTTTGGACGTGGCCCTCGTCGGTAGACGTTGATGGTCGTCCAGAGCGCGGTTCGTCTTCAACGCGTTCTCGGCCCGCTTTGAACTCGTTGTACCACTTATAAACGTTTTTTTGTGCCATAGTTTGATCACCAAAGGCCTTCCGCAACATTTTCAACGTGTCCGCACAAGAATATTCGTTCCGCAAACAAAATTTGATGCAAGTTCTTTGCTCAACAAAATCACCCATTGTAAAAATCGAAAAATTCACTTTTGGTCGTTTACTAAAACACGTGTAACTCGGTGATAATTAAACCTTTTAACAAACAGACGCTTGGCAATTGTTATAGACAGTCCTACCAACCTAGGAAAAAAACAATTGCCTGCCTTCCTAATGTCCGGGAGTTTTAAATGACAATTTCACCTTACTTTTTAATCACAGTAGTATTTTGGTAAATACAGCTTTATGTAAAGTGACAGATGTATTAAAGAATGGCGTATAGTTCTCGCGCGACAGGAGGGTACATTCCCCCTCTTACTAGCTGCCCCACTGCCGCAACTAGTAAGAGGGGGAATATAAACACAAAGACGCCAACTTGTCGCGCAAGGGCTATACTAATACTCACCATGAATCGAGGATCATAAGTGTGTAAACGTGATACTTTTAGGAGGGCTCTTCGACGATGGCGACGAGATGCAGCGAACTTTCGAGACGTCCGTTAAAACGATCAACAAAGATCGCCACGTTAACCAGGAGTTCGCAAATGTGTTCCTCGTCGCAGATTCCATGGAAGTCGATACAGATCCATATGACGTGGCACTCAAAGGTATAAACATAAATTGATTGCAGTTAGAGCTGGCCAGGTAAAACTCGAAAAGATAATATTTCAAATACCATTTCAACTTATCTTAAATTTACTAATCATTTCACGCTTCAAAAATACCAAAATTAAAAACAAACGAAACATTATTTAGCTACTTTTGCTGTCATCGGGATAGAGCAGTTACCATAACTTAAACACAAACAAACCGAACTGTATCTACTGGTTGAAATAACATTTTACCCAGTATTGACTGCAGTGTACACTCATGGATTGCATTTCGATTTGCAACGTTGTTGGAACGTTTTCAATCCGATTGACTTGTTGACGTGTTCAGTTTGCGAAATGATGGGCACTGGAGTGGCAGCGATTTTCGGGCCCAAGAATAGAATCTGCTCGGATCACGTGCAGAGTATATGCGACACCATGGAAATACCGCATATTTATGCGAGGTGGGAACCCTTGCCGGTCCGTGGAAAAGGAATAAACTTGTACCCCCACGCAGAAACACTTTCGAAGGTGCGTAAAACCTAAGGGTAGCATAAAATACTGTATTTGAAATATTTATCGCGACATTCTATTATCAGCTCGCGACAGATAAAGTCTGAGCAATTCCACAGAGTTACTTGAACCAACGATAACATAAGCGAAAGCATCATAAACAAGATTGCAATAGAACTAATTACTTTCGTGCACAGAAAACATTGATTTCACTGCATAATTTATATGATTCGCTACATTTTATAATTGAATGAAATATGTGTTTAATAGGGAAATATGTAGTTCATTGTTTCCGCGAAAATGAATTGGCTGTTACATCAAGGTGAACACTACATTGATCGTGAAATGTTACTTAGAAATATTTATGTTACTTCGAAGAAACATATTTCTTACTGTTTTCAAAGTTGTATCTCATTTGTATCTCATCAGGAATCAAACTAATACAATTATAAAACGCGTTGCCTTTTAATCTTTCTACAGTTTTTCAAGTGAAGCTAAATTCATTGATTTCGATATTAGATATTGGTACCAACAGTAAATCGATACACGTTTATCTGTTTCATTTCGGGCAAAACGTACACGTTAATTGCATACAGTTGCATTCGTTAACGAAGAGAAAAGTATAGAGTTACAGAAATATCTTCGTATGTCATCAGATCTTCGATCAATTAATCACCGAATTTGAGTGGAAATCGTTTGCCATTTTATACCAAGATACAGACAGCTTGATACGTGTTCATCGTATACTGGAACGCGTGGATGCTCGCGCGCAGCGTGGACGTATTATCTTCTTATACCATTTGGGAGACGGTCCTAATTACAGGTACATGACACGAAATTATCATTCATTAAGCGCAGTAAGTATCGATTAATTTATAATACATTTATCATGCGCGATATACGTTAAGAAACGATGAAGAATCTATGAACGATAGCTGCTGTCCGAATAGATTGAATTGATCGCCAAAATGTTCATGAATATACATACACATCAATTTTCGAAATGTTAAATAAATTCATAGCGAACAATAACTTCGAGCTGTCGATTCTGCTTTCACATCCGGTCATAATCGATATTCTTCAAGGGAGAGAATAATTAATCACACAATGCTGCATGAAATTTTCTGCAGGAAGGTGATGCAGGAGATAAAAGAGGAGGAAACTGAGAACATTGTGATTGATTGTTCAATCGAAATTCTCGCGGAGGTGCTGAAACAGGCGCAGCAAGTCGGCATTATGTCGGAGAAGAACAGAGTCATAGTGACTTCTCTGGTAAAATGATTCACAGTATTCAATACCTCAAATGAATGAAACACCTTTTAGTTTCGAACTGAAGATCTGACAGATTCGAAATGTATACCTACTAATAACAATGACTGATTCGCCATTTTTCTTCAGGAACAGTCTTTTGTGCCAGAAAAGAAGTCAGTAATAGATTATCTCTTAATTATCATACCTCTCTCATTATTACACGATATCGCTGTCTTATTAAGAATTCAAGAAGCTAATTTTCACGTGAATTTTGAACAAAATTTTAGTCGAATTGTTGACGTTATTATTAAGTTTAAGTTATGTTGTCGTTGTGTTAAGAAAAAACAGTGAATTACATGCTCATTGTATTTAGCAACGAAGAAATGACTTCTTTATTGTACAGGTCTTGAACGAAATCACAGCTAATTTGTGAATTCTATCGTTGCAGGATCTTCAAACGATAGATCTCGAACCCTATCAATTCTCCGGGGTGAACTTTACCGGGGTTAGGCTGATAAACCCTGAGAACACTGTGGTGTCGAGCATCGTGGAAATGCACAAAAATGAATGGGGTTTAGAGGCGTCTAAGTTACGCGTTGAGCCTGCTCTCATATATGACGCTGTGCAACTTTTCGCAAGGGCCTTCAAGCATTTAAAGGACGCCATTAAGGGTGACGTGAAACAATTATCCTGCAACGGCAGTTTAAGTTGGGAGCATGGCTACAGTTTGAGCAACTTTATGCGTCTCGTAAGATTGTTGTTAATTATTATTTATTTTGCATTGCATCATCTCCTTGCATATCTCCTCGTTGCAATCGTTCCTACCGTTTTCACATACAACGCTGCCTAAGACTTAAAGCGATTAAAACAAGGCGAATCGAAGAAACATATTTCTTACTGTTTTCAAAGTTGTATCTCATTTGTATCTCATCAGGAATCAAACTAATACAATTATAAAACGCGTTGCCTTTTAGTCTTTCTACAGTTTTTCAAGTGAAGCTAAATTCGTTGAAATCTGAAAATCAATTTCTTTTTCATTTTGCATTTTTTTATATGTTATATGTTAACCCTTCCGCAGAATAAGTTTAAAATCATTGTAGAATAGCGCAGTTTCCAACGTGTACGTGTATTTTTAAAGTGACGGCTATGTGACCCGAACACCATTAGCGTAAGTTTCGATGAACATAAAACATACTTAAGATTCAGGTTGCATGTTGTTATTGGACTACGGATCCTCATGCAAAATAAAACTAATCTGCATCGTTCGTTCAAGACAAGAGCGAAATAAAGATGTATATTTTCTTCTAGTAGTTTTAATAAATTGAAAGCAGTGTAACGACATTCTTCAGTTCTTCTGATGTCTAATCTGCATTCCACTTACCCATTTTTGCCCCCCTAAGTGCATAAAATCCGCAGTTCAGTACGGTGAAAATCATACGAATTTAATACTGATGATAAGATTCGATACTGAGCACCGAAAACAACAGATTTTTGACAGAGGAATAGGAACGTGTGTCGAGAATTCAAAAATAGAGCAAAGTGTTCCGTTACCACGATAAAATTTGTTCTCTCTATCATTGTCATCATACTGCGAGAGTATATGTATGTGCGGAGAGCCCCCTAGGTAATTCTCGATGATTACACTTTCAGGGCGAAATGGAAGGTTTGACCGGTTTGATTAAGTTCGACACGGCCGGGTTCCGCAGCGATTTCCAGTTGGACGTGGTGCGCGTGACGGAAGACGGCTTGAAGAAGATCGGAATGTGGAACAGCACGAACGCCATCGAATGGGTGTCGGAAAGTCGTCCTCCGAAGTCACAGCTCGAGTTGAGTCTGCAGAATACAACGTTCATCGTCATGATAGCTATCGTACGTGCCAGAATGAAATTTGAAACGTCTTACGTTCTTCAATTTTCGTTAAACTTTCCGACGGACAAAGATTGATGATGGCGGGATTTGCACGGGACGACCATTGAAAGTTATGACACCAACTTGACATCTGCTTAATAGTCAAGATGGACGTTAATCCTCGAGACATTTTCTCGTACACGGCACAAATTGTCGTACTTTTCTAACATAACATTTGAAGTTTGTACGTTACGTTAAATGGAATTTTGGCGACGCCGTGTATAATGGAAGAGGGGAGGATACGAAAGGGTGCGTGTCGTTCTGGGCCCGCTAGAGAATCCATCAGCAAGACTATCTGGCGGTGTTAGAGCGATATTTACTGTTAGACGTGGGGATATCGGTAAGACAGTTAACCGGTCAGCTTTTACGAATATACTCGTCACGTAGTAATGGCAATACTTTCTTATGACGAGTATACTCGTCACGTATAAGTAGGTCATTATAGGTCAATCTAGGTGATTATACAGGGTGTCCCAAAAATGTCTCGCAATCCGGAAGTGGCGGGTTCCTCAGGTCATTCGAAGCAACTTCTTCCTTTACAAAAATTTTCTCCGACGCACCGTTAACGAGTTATTAACGAAAAACAGTGACCAATGAGAGGCGAGATCAGCTGGCGCGAGGCGACCGAGCCAATGAGCGGAACTGGACTTCGCGCGCTGGTTGGCTGGGCCGCCTCGCGTCAGCCGCACTCGATTCTTATTGGTCACTGTTTTTCGTTAATAACTCGTTAACGGTGCCTCGGAGAAAATTCTTGTAAAGGAAGAAACTGCTTGAGGAACCCGCCATTTCCGGATTGCGAGACATTTTTGGGGCACTCTGTATAGATATAGGTATAGGTCATTCGAAGTAACTTTTTTCTTAGCGAACATGTAATCCGCGGCTTTGTTTACGAGTTTTTAAGGAAAGACAGTGACCAATGTTTGCAGTTTCGATAGTGGGGCGCGACGGCTTCGGTCCACGTTCGAAGCAATGAACAAGTCACGAAGCGTTAAGTTTTCGAACTTTTTTACTACATAACAATGATAATTTTAAGAAGAACGCGGTTCATCCTAATTCAGAATGTTTGAAGAATATTTACTCATTTTTTGGATCCGAAGTAATAAGTAGTTTAAACCTTTGCACTCGAAGCTATTTTAACTGTAAATATAAGATCATTTTTCTAATTTACAATGTTTTTATGCTATATGGCAAAATGCATTTTATGCATATGAAGTTGACTCTTGGAAGTCACACAACAATTACACTCTTAACAATTTTTTAAATCTAAACTTTGTCGATGTAAAAATTATCTAGATATAGGTATAGATATAGGTATAGGTCATTCGAAGTAACTTTTTTCTTAGCGAACATGTAATCCGCGGCTTTGTTTACGAGTTTTTAAGGAAAAACAATGACCAATAAGAGGCGAGATCAACTGGCGTGAGACGACCGAGCCAATGAGCGGGACTGGGCTTTGTGCGCTCGCGGGCTGAACCGCCTTGCGCCAGTCGAGCTCGCCTCTTATTGGTCACTGTTTTTCGTGAAAAACTCGTAAACAAAGCCATGGACTGCATTTGCCTTAAGGAAACAGTTACTTTGAATGACCTCAAGAACCCCTCATTTCGAGGAAATAACGTAGTTTTGGGACACCCCGTATAGGGATCAGCGATGGATCTGGGTATAGCGGGAAAGGTACCCATCTGCTGGCATGCGTCGGAAGTAGCCGTCACCAGTGCAGTCAGGAAAAGTAGCTACGCAAGGCGACACATGCATAGGGAGTCCCGTGTAGCGGCGTGGGGCGAACAATTCTGAAGTGGCTCTGTGTCGCATCGTCATCGTAATTCCGAATTACAATGCTCACCCGGTAGACGCTCCACGCCACTTTTCCTAACTGCACCGGCCATCACAGCATTATTCAGTTAATATCGATATCTTACTGATACTGACAAATGTAAATAAATCATAACACAAGAAGTTCAGCTTACAAAGCTCCATTTGCATTACCGCATATTAATTACATATTTTCTAATAAATTTATATTATTTGTTATATACACGTTCTACACGTTTTTTTAATAAGAAATCCAAGGTAATACTAGAGAGTAAGTTGAACTTGATCGTAATTGCGTGGTCGATAAGCCTAAATCGAGGTACACTGTACGTCTAAAATAAGTAGATTACAAAAGATTTCAAGTATATAGGGTGTTTATTTTAGCCTGCACACGGAAATATCTTCGTTATATTTGCTGATATAAAAAATGTGTCAGGACAACTTTATTTAGTTCACGGCTTTAGTTCATAGTGACGAAGATCGTTAAATTCGTCTTGATCTGCACAACACTGCTGTGTTATTAAAAGATAAGGATTAATATGCAAAAGATAGCGATGACCTTCACTACTTGAAAAAAAATTGTCTTGAGAGAAAAAGAAAATGATTCGCAATATTCTTAGCTTTGGACTAAACAAAGACATCTCAAAATGCAGGATAAAATAAACATCCCGTATATGTATAACTAAAGTTAGAGTGACAGATTACTTTAGATCTCAAATTTGGCGATGTCACATTTCATAGAATAATCCATAAATAAGAGGGAGGAAATCAGTGTCGTAAAAGTGAAGTACGTTTATGGTGCTTGCAGAGTCACCCTTACGGAATGCTGAAGCAATCCGCGGAAACGATGACCGGAAATGATCGTTACGAGGGATTTGGAATCGATATAATTCACGAGCTCAGCAAGATGCTCGGTTTTAATTACACGTTTGAAGTGCAAAGCGATAACGTGTACGGATCCTACTCTGCGAAGGCGAAAAAATGGACTGGAATGCTCGGCAAAGTTATTGCTGGTGTTAGTTATAATATCGACGTAAAAGCATGCTATAGTTGTGAAAGGCATTGAAATGCAATATCCAGTAATTTTATGTTGCAGGAGGCACATCTGGCTATTACCGATCTGACAATTACCTCGCAACGAGAGTCAGCGGTCGATTTTACGATGCCTTTTATGAATTTAGGTATGAAAATGCATTCGAAAATATATGCTTCGATGAAATGATGGGTTTGTGATCTGGAATATTCGTGCACGAGTGATACATTTTTTTTATTTCACGGATTGGTTTCTTTTCTGTTGAATTGCAAGATAATTCGTTGCTTCGAACGATAGTAATCTTAAAAGAAATAGCAGAAATGAATAAAGTAAAGGAATTGAGTTTTCAAGATCTCTTGTCTCATAGTATTGCGCTGCTTGTTCTAAACTTACAAATCGTGTGCTTTCCAATATAACGTTAAAAATATTCCTAAAATATACAAACTCCAATACGCCTTCGAAATTATTTGGAATAAAATTCAGTAACACCTTTAATATACAGGGTGGGGGGCATTTTAAACAGGTCACCTGAATAACTCGCTTATTTTTGAAGATACGAAAAAATGCATTAGACCAAATTTACTTGGTATCGGGGGGCTCATATAATCTGGTATTACCAATTTTTCTGTAGGTGGAGGCGTCAAGGAGATATGAAGGTCAATTCTGTTTTTTTAAATAGAACAGTAAGCTTTTTTACTTACATTCTGATAGGGTGTTTCGAGGCGAATACAATGAACTATTATAAACGTCATTCAAAGTCAACTGCAAGAGAAAATAAATTGTCTCAGAGTACTTTTCGAATACTTGTGTATCACTGTGTGTATTACGTGACACGGGCCACAAAAGATAAGCAAACATTCAATCACATTGTACGCTTATCTGTATCCTCAAACATTATTGGTAATTTTAAATTATCTGTTTTCGAAAATAATTTGAAGAAAAATTCAGAGATTTATACATTTCAGCGAAGGATTAGAAATGTCTTAAATATTTCTGGACTTTTCGTACTAAATACCATACGGTCATAGTGTTGTGGTCGTTGCATTGGACTTGATCTTAGCTTTTGACGATAAAAATTGCACACAAGTAAATAGATGACATTATTTTTTGACTAGATTTATGAACAAATTTGTGTGATTATTTGCCATTTTACTATATTTTAGCTTTGCTTTTCTATGTCACTTTGGATGACCTTGAATGACTTTCATAATACTTCATTGTATTCGCCTCGAAACACTCTATCAGAATGTAAGTAAAAAAACTTACTGTTCCATTTAAAAAAACAGAATTGACCTTCATATCTCCTTGATGCCTCCACCTACAGAAAAATTGATAATACCAATTATAATAATACCTATTATAATTATAATAATACCTATATAATTATAATAATTAATAGGTAATACCTATTATAATTGTTGCGTCCAGAGACAAGGGCCATAAAAAGGTCCCACCATTGGGGAAAACCCTCTCAGGCCCCAACAAGGGTCAAGGCAGACACCCCCCTCCAAGGGGTGATTCGTGCCTTGACCAATAATAAACAATCTACCCCCATCCACGGTGCTCTTCCACGACTTTCCAGCGTTGGAAGAGCATTCTTCCACCAGCGCTCGCAGAGAGTGCAACACAAAAAATAAAGTTCTCTAAGACTACTAGAGACCCTTCCACGTCATTAGTTTGCCGTAGGAAGCGCGAATCGAGCGTACAATAGTTCGGTCGCGCATGTACGTTAGGCGACTAACCGAACGTACGGACAAAACAATAATTATAATAATTATATATATATATATATATATATATATATTATTGGTCTAATGCATTTTCTCGTATCTTCAAAAACAAGCGAGTTATTCAGGTGGCCTGTTTAAAATGCCCCACCCTGTATATATTTCTCAGTCAACTCATAAAGTCTTTTTCGTAATTTACATTCGTGATAGTAATTTACAACGTTAAACGATTCAATCGTGTCGAAACAATGAAATTTTAATCCGAGGGGATAACATTTGTTTTTGAATCATTTCAGGGATAAGTATCCTGTATCGAAAGCCAACTCAGACACCGCCCAGTCTTTTCTCATTCTTGTCGCCATTTTCTGCCGGAGTCTGGTGGTATTTGATCGGAGCTTACATATCCGTGTCACTGCTGCTGTTCGTAATTGGCAGACTCTGCCCTGCTGAATGGAACAACCCTTATCCATGTATAGAGGAACCAGAAGAGTTGGAGAATCAGTTCACTTTTAAGAATTCCCTGTGGTTCACCATTGGCAGTATTATGCAGCAAGGTTCTGAAATTGCACCCATGTGAGTTGAATGTTTTAATACTAATATTTTTCATTCACTAACGAAACTCTATCGTCTCAGAGCGAAGTACTAATATTTCATATTGTTATGATTTTCCATAATATTGCATAGACTTCTGGTCCCCTTCGCCGGTGAACACATTTATTTATTTATTCAACACCATACAAATTTTCACCTGAATTATTTATTTATAATTAATTATAAATCTATTCAAGGTCATTTTGTACGTCCATCTTTTTTGATGTCTATCATAGACCTGCTGATCTTCTCCTCGTTAACAGCTACTATTGACCAGTTAATTTAATTTGAAATTAATGTTATGATTTCACACCCCGTCGAAACGATATTAGATCCTCAAAGAAGATATGCTCCGTTCTCTCATAAAATATATCGAAAATCAATTATTTGGTATATATTTATTTATTTATTTTTGGTATATATTTCAATTTTATTATATTTGCATCTACAAATATTAATATTGCTGACTCTATTTACTTCCTACCGTTTTTCTATTATCTTTCATATAATATTTCATATAGTATGGAGGAAGTTTAACAAAAAAAAGCGTAGAGAAAAAGGAAATTTTCTAAATGGTACACTTAAGCAACAACGTACATTACATTAACTTCTTCTTTTGTACAATATTATACTAATTTCACATGTTTCTATTTTTAATATGTTAGGGACAACTGATTTTTTAAAGAAATCACAGGCAGATAGCCCGATGCTATTTCTCATCCGGTTGTTTTATGGCAAGGTCGAAGGTTAGATATAGCCAATTCTTCTACAGTAGTCTGGGAATTCACTTTCTTGGGCTTAAATTATCTTAGCATTGTTTCAAGGTTCAAGCTCGTAATATAGTAGGTCGATGAATTCAACTCGATGCCAGCAAGAATATTATCAAATCACAATATGTATTAGCGTATAAAAAATCAAGGTGACCAGCGTTTTTTATACGAAAAAAATCTTTCCCGAAGTCTCTATATCCTAACATATAGAAAAGTCAACTAGAATAGTCAAAAGATCAACTTTTACTGGAAACATTTTTTTGCCATATCATCGAAAATGTCTAAAAAGTTATAGTTCGTTTTGAAATTGTATACGAGCGTTCAGTGCGCATCGATACGAGCCTAAGCAATAGATAAAAACCGCAAAAAACTGCATTAAACATTTTTAGATATTCTTTTATAAGCCTTGTTAAAGTTTAAATTGTTAAAAACCTAACATTCTTCCTGCGTGGACTAAATATGCTTTTGACACGCATAAACAGTTGAAATATAAGTGCTTCCACGTATAAAACTATATCATGAATTTTCATTTTAATATTTTATAACGAGTAATTAAAATAATTAGTTTTAATCTTAATTTCATATTTTTGCCTTTATAAAGCTATATCCCAATCAGAGTAATATGAGGTTATTAATATTCGGGATTTCTCGAAATTCCAAGGACTTATCAATATACAGGGTGATTCTCGAAGCAGTAACAAGCTATATCTTCGATTTGTTTCGAATTAGGAAAAAATGTGAAATAAGTAGTCTTCTCGTAAATGGACATGAAAGTTACGTAAAGATCATCGACGTTTTTTTAAATGGATACTTACATTTTTTTCGCATAAGTCGAATTCTTTCTTTATTCTGCGTAAAAAAAGTATTAGGGTAATATTATCAAAAAATGAATAGTTTAAATGATATTTTTGAAAAAATCTCTTTATCGAAGCCGATATTCAAACGCTCCATTCTAATATTATGTAAACATTCGTTTCATTGCAACGTTCAACATATTTCTCTCGATACACTCGAATTGTTGCAGATGCATTTTTGTCACACTCCACATACACACCATACATATTAACTCTTTCATTCTCAGTAAAATGCGACATTTTACTTAATAGTAGACTTGACACTCACGTTTTAGCTTCGATAATTATAATACAAAATAATATAAAAATATTGAACTATTTTATAATATTATAATATTAAACTATTTATTTTTCGATAATATTATCCTAACACTTTTTTACGTAGAATAAAGAAAGAATTCAATATATGTGAAAAAAATGTATCTTAATATGTATGTATCTTAACATGACCCTTATGAGAAAACTATGTATTTCATACTATTACCCCTTTGGGTCCATTCGTCTTTCTCCCCTAATACTTTTTCTCAACTCGAATCAAAACAGAAATATAACTTCTTATCTTTCCCTGAATCACCTTGTATAGGGAAAAAAGTGTTATCCAAATATGGAAGTTGAGAAATTGAATTTGAACAATAAATTATTGTCTGTCGTACCATTGTGCGTTCATAGTAGATTAAGCAGATCTCAAATCGAAGGAACGGGGATGGGTCACGCATCACGTGATGCGCTGGGACTCCCGTACAGAGGAGTGGGGGGTACAATGGGTGTACATTATAATTTAAACTACGAACGTGACGCGACGCAGAGGCTCTCAACTAATTGCATGTTTCTGGTTTTCAGTGGACTGTCAACGCGGATGATAGCTACTTCCTGGTGGTTCTTTTGCTTGATCATGGTATCGTCGTACACTGCCAACTTGGCGGCGTTTCTGACGGTCGAAACAGTGGTATCGCCGTTTTCAGATGTCGAAGAGCTGGCGAGAAAGAAGACAATTAAATATGGTGCCAAAGATGGAGGATCGACGTACACCTTTTTCAAAGTAAGTTGATGTATCGACCAATAGCTTCCTCAAGGACGTATCAATGAATACCGTCGTACGTGAAGACTTAAAAAGATTACATTGCCTTAGTTGTTAGTTGCAACAAATTTTACAGGCTCGTTACAGCACCCGACGTTCTTGTTTCAAATGTAAGAGATATTTACTAGTTTTAACTAGATGCTGGTTTAGTAGTTCAACCTTAGAACAAGTGAATTAAAACAGAATATATTAATATAAACGCTTTGTTTAACTCCGATTTATTAACCTCCTCCCCATCGAAAAGATTTTATTGTTAATTTAATTATTACCACATTTGAGAGGCCGCACGGAATACTAATCATTGATGACTAAAGTCGATGACTAAAATCACAATTATGTGTTTTACATAAATACATAGCTGTTATTGAATTTATCAATCAATAAATTCATTAAATAAAGCTGCAAGATTTCAATATGTCAGTTAGTCACGCAGTACATTTAGTAGTGTTCAATTTGCTTTTCTGTTGATGAAATAAATTCGATAATTGGTCAAAATACATTAGGCACTCCGTTCCAAAGCTCGCAGCGCAGAGTTGATATTCTTTAAAACTGTAAGAGTACGTAATGGCATCTGATTTTTTATGTTGTCAAGTGAGGTAAATCCATTAAACAATGCTTGTATGAATATTCGAAAACAATTAACACCACCAAAGTTGAAGCTATTAGGTCATTCGATCGAGCTTACGAACTAATTTTGAAGTAATATCGCAAACACAGATTACAGTCACGAGATAATAATCACGATATACAGTCGCGAGATTAATTAAGAACAATACTTAAACATAATTTAAACTCTAATTATCCACTTGCTATTTACAATGAAATTTGTCAATGACCAAAGTAGTTGGTTTATTGAACTTTTGAAATAACCGAATTAGTTTATTTAAAGGCGTCGCCCCAAATATTTAATCTCACTGTAAATGGATTACATTAGATATTTACACTGTCCGACAAAATCAAACTTTTTTCTGATTTCCTAGAGCCACTACTTCTTGTAGAGCTTCACTCCCCGAACAAGAATCCGAAAACCGAATTGCTCCGTCACCCTCAGTTTTTGAAAAAAAAAACGAACTTTTGTAAAAACCTAAAATTTTCGATAAAAATGAGGTATTGCATCGAAAGTACAAACGTTAGAAAGATTTAATCGGTCTTAGCAGATAGAGGAAAGTTTTTCGAATATAGTGGCATATAATTTAATAATTGTTTCTGGTCTTAAATAACTATAAATTAATGTCAAAGTTTAAAAAAGTGTCGACGTGCGCTGTTTCTCCGCAATATTTTTGTATTTTTACGAAAAGTTCTTTGTTCAGCACGAAAAGTCTACCCAGCATCGGATTCTGTGGACATTTCTGAAGAAGAAACGGCCCGATAGAAGTGTCGGAACGATGTACATTTTGAGTAGGTCGAGAAAATGTTCGTCGGCAACATGTACACGATGTTTTGCCGCCATATGCTTCGCTGCTCGCTTCTCTCTGTCCAACAGGGCCGAAGCTATGCGTAATCAACACCGACGGAGGGGTCCAATGGGGCACCCACTTAGCGTGTGGGGCGTGCTACTTTGAATTTTTTTTAGTACTTCAATGTGCTGTCTTCTTTTACATATTTCTGTGGATAATAATCACCAAACTGTGAATCATAAATTAAAAATGGAGAAATAATAAAAGAAAAATAATGAACAAAAAATATTCATTTTATTCTGAATTTGTTCGAATTACAAGTATATCATGTATACAGTTATCATTTAAATTATAACGATAATACGATCATGAATAAATAATCATTTTCAAAACGTTAAACTTCTTGAAACATATTGTTAAATATATATTTAAATATTTATTTAATTATATGGCGTAGAAGTCAAAATTATACTAGTGTTAGAATATACTTTCGTTACCCACTGCAAATACTCTGGTGTGATCTTTTGTGTGAAATATATCACAGTTTGGTGATTATTATCCACAGGAATATGTAATAAAAAACAGAACATTGAAGTACTAAAAAAATTCAAATATTATTTACGAAAAGTGGGTGCCCCATTGGATCCCTCCATCGGTGTTGA